TTACAAAATGCTTAGATACAGTCCCGACATAGCACCTGAAAAGCTCTCCGGTCGCTGCTGAGATATGACGTCACATGTTGAAAATGATGTGCACAAGCAGACGATGTCCCATGACATCTCACACAATTTCAGTGCCTCTTTTGTCATCTTTTCTTCAGTAATTTCTCTTACTTCAATGCCCTCAGGCGAAATGTTTAATATTTTGCCTCACTCTAAACCCCTTGCATGGTATTATTTTGATGAAAAATGCAAGGATTAACCAAAAAAAAGGAATCCGTTGCTTGTAAACAAAATAAGACGCCATTGTATTTTCAGCTGCATACACCGCGGCATGTTCGGCGTTTCAAGAGGGAACAAATGACGTCCATGCTATCATTCCGGGTTTTTTTTTAATTTGAAAGTGTGGTTTCTTTGATTGTTCATTAACCCCTATCCTGTGTATTTAAAAACAAAAGAATTTAGATATCAGAATGGGGACATATCCCTTTTTGAATGGTGTAAAATTCCATCACATTTATATACACTAAACTCATTATATTTTGAGAAATAAAAGCATTGCAATAATGTTCATTCTTTATGGGATGTCGTCTGCTTGGGCAGGGTTGGTTCATATTGTGACGGAATTAAAACATCGTTATTTTCCGGCGAATCTCTCGCATATCCCAGATGCTATGGAGGTTGTTTTGTTTGTATTTTTATAAATCACCCGATATGTAGTTGACCTAAAACTTGCATGATGGCCATCTGTTTAGCATACCAGTTTCTAGTAATACGATATTTGCCATATTTGTGATTTTCTATAAACCCGCACTTTAAAAGACACCCAACATTTGATTTAAATTTTTTCGTCAACCGTTTTCAAACAACCATGACCATCCCCTCTATATATTGAAATGGTCTGTATTCATAGACTAATAATAGAGGAGAATTAACACAAATAACAGGATGCTTTCTCATTCACTGTGGCTAAACCAGGTGATTAATCCCCTGCACTCTGTGGCTTTAAAGGGATTGGTGACCCAAACGCCATTAATTACCCGTAGAGTTTACCATAAAATGGCTTATTAAAAAATAGAAAGGAAAATGTGAATAGCCAGATACCGTTTGGATCTGGAATATATACTCACACTGTATGCATAAATGTTAACAGGAAAAATGGTCTATTAATTATTTAGTATGAAAATACAAGTCATGTACTTTGTAGGCCTACATGTACATGTACATTCTATTAATGATCTACTGGCAGACAGTATTAAAATGCACTGTACAGTGTACATGTGTGTTGTATACATGTAAAAGTACATTCAATTGAAACTAGTCAAAACAAATGTGAAATGATTTTCTACAAGAAAACATGTACTGTACATGTTGTACACGTACGTGTCTAATAATCATAGAAAAACATGTTCATATGAGAGCTTACAACATTACAACAACAACTAAAACAACAAGCAAACACATAAAAGAACAAATATCCATGCATTCCTGTGATGTTAAGCAAATAACTACCGTTGGTGAAGGTGATGGGACAAACTATCACTTCCGAGGCAATGTAGCTATCTTTCCGAAGCGAAGCTGAGGAAAGATAGCATATGCAATTCAGATTGCCGAGGAAGTGATACATGTAGTTTACCATTGCCTGAAACCAAAAGGTGATTATTTGCTTTATTCCACATTGGAAACATTTCACTTCTTCCGTCATTTTAGAGCAACAAGTCATCAATAAACATCTAGCAAACGGTGTACGAAAAATACAGTGTATGCAGTATGGTGGTGACCATAGTTTGCGCATGACCAAAGTTCGCGTACTAACACTAAACGCGCAGAGGAGAGCAATATGCAACGTAGACAATTAAAGTGCATTGCACTGTGTAAATAGGACTTCTATCTTCAGTGCAAGTGCGTTGCACTGTGTAGATAGTAGCCTATCTTCACAGTGTAACAAACTTTTTGCTTCTTCCAGCAATGATGGGCGAACTATCTTTCAACACGTGATTTACTTTTGACCAATTGTAGAGCAAGATTCTTAGTATGTGGAATATAATACACAATCACAGTGCAAGCCTGCAATTGTACAGAACAGATGTGATTATACAGTGTACAAAACCTTAGCCAATCTTACGTACATGCACATACCTACATCAACAATGTTCATATACATGTATGCTTAATGGCTTCACTGTTCATGATGAAAAAACATAAAAATAATCCATTTTTTTCTTCTTCAAAATGGAAAATATGTCAAGATTAGAGTTAAATGTACCTCTAAAATTGCAGCTAAAATGATTGCTCTGTATAAAGCAGCAGTCTTGACTCTTGACACGTACCGGTATATATCCGGTATGTATGCCTACACTTACTGTATGCACAGGCCTTAAATTTCGTCATTTTTAGGGCAAGGCCAGTTTGGCCTCGAGTACCTCATATTTTTAAGGGCACCAAGGCCAAAATATTTTTACAAAAAGGGCATCGAGGCCAAAATATTTTACAAAAAGGGCATCGAGTATGAGGCCAAAAAAATTGATTCTATTTTTGTTAGATGTCATGTGTATTTTATGAAACTTGTGCAGGATCAATTTCCCATGACTTTTAGCACCAGCTTCTTCACAGAATGTATAGAGGTCTACGGTACATACAAACAAGCAGGCGCGTAGCCACGAGGGGGGGGGGGGGGCACGGGGGGCACATGCCCCCCCTAAAATTTCCAGGATCGGTTGAAATTTTGTAGACCCCTTTTTTTTACCTCGATCGATTACATGTATGTGCCCCCCAAACACCAAACTCTGGCTACGCGCCTGCAAACAAGGCGGCGGCCCGCAAGCCTTAGATTTAGCAGCCAGGAGCAAGGGGCAATTTTTTTTTTAAGTTGCCCTTTGCCACGGGAATTTACCAGAGCAAGGGGCAATTTTCCAAAAACAGATAGGCCGCTTATCTAATCATAAGTTCAAAGAGAGTCTACAAATGTTAATTTCATAATGTGAATAGATCGAACGATCAATTTAATAACTTTTTAATCTTAACAATATGAACAGGAAAGATTGATTAAGAACATCAAACTTGCACATTAAACAGTATTTTAAAGTAACTAAAAATATTGATGAGCAAATGAATAAATAAATTGTCAATTTCACAAACATCGAAAGTCAGAAGGACTTAATTGGCAAGTTTACCGGGCCGGGTATTCCAAATCAAAATCGCACCTCACACACAAACCTTCCGCCACTCTCTCGGTAGTAGGAGCAAATTTGAAAAAATTATCTTTTTAACTGTTGTATAGAAAGGTCTACATAGGCCTAACTAATGAAATAAGATGTAAAAATGTCCTTACAGACATTCGACAGCTGAAAGTGACACGCTCAGCTCAGTTGCGTAACGTGCATTCACGAAACCAAAATCGTTCCTCGCACACACACTCTCGCCACTTTTGGTGGGAAGCTGTCGGGCTGGAAGTTTGCCAGCGAAACCGATGCACCCTCGGAATTTTACCGGGACTCGAAACGTTCGTCTTGGGAAGCTGGCGGGGTAGCTTTTTGAAGCGAGGTCGGCTGGTGGCAAAATGAGAGTAACTACGATCGAGAACATCGTAGGTGTTCTTAACTTATTAATAAGATAATTCTAAATTCTATTTGAGATAAAATAATAAACTAGGCCTAGAGTCTACAAACAAACCTCGACAGATCTCTAATGACTATTTGAATGCTTGTTTATTTCTCCATTTGACGATTTGTTTTCTTGATCCTGGCCTTCGATTTGTACGTACGTGCGTGCGTCAACAGCATGCACCATATGCATATCATGCGATCGCATAATATGAACGTACGTACGTACGTGCGCTAGCGCATTGCCTATATAATAACAAAGGGCGCATTTTCACGGCACTTGCGCCTTATTAAAGCACTAAATACGAAGCTAGAAGAGAGCTCGTGGGCGGCAAACTGTTCGTGATTCGTGTATTTTTACTGTTCTAATAATTTATGGGCGCATTTTCACGGAAAACACTTGCGCCTTGCCGTCTAGTTTTAGATGATTATGGGCGCAATTGGTGGTTTTATGTGCGCAAATTTAAAATAAAAAGGGCACGTCCAGTTTGAAAAAAAGGCACGTCGGCCAGTTTGAAAAAAAGGGCACGGCCTTTTTGGCCGTGAATATATCTTTTTTTGGGAGGGCACCGCGGCCAGTCATAGGGGCATCGACGGCCTGGCCGTCGATGGCCGTCGATTAATTTAAGGCCTGTATGCATCAACTATATTGATCATTATATTAAATGGTATTTTTCTCTGATGTCCCCATTACTGCTAAGCACGTACAATATAAACAAACTTGCTAATGACTTCCTCTTCCATTGACAGTCACAAGCCTTCATAGTAGTAGACAAACATCGATGTACAACCACAGTATTCTGTATTTTTTAGTACTGGCATTCGCATGAATAGTATCACAGATTTGTTCAGTATACCACGACTTTGATGCACACTGGAGGCAACTAAATTCTATGAGAGATTTGATCATATACCATTTTGGTAGAGATTGGTGAATAACATATATTCCAATTTGTCTAGAAGTTTCAGCAGTCCACAGAATATCTCAATTCAAATACCGGTACATGTAAATGAAAGTTGATAAATATCTTGTTCCTCCGTGTACAGTGTACATGTACATCAGTCGAGATACGTACATACGTACACGTACACCTGTATACAGTACAGCTGGTTAATTGGTACAATGTACATGTAGGTACATGTATTCCCAAGATCACGAGGGATATGCAGCTATCCCATGGATCAACACTCTGCACTGCCAAAATTGTTTGAAGCATATATATGATTCCATACATTATTTGTGTGCGGAAAGTCGACTGTGGTAGTCCAATGTTGTTCCCTTTATAGTTGACCTACTGTAAACAGGTAAAGAGCTAATATACAGTAGAGCAAACAGGAGTTGTACAGCCTTGTATTAGAAAACATTAGATGTGACAAAATGTTGTCTTGAGATAGACTTACCTGTGTATGAGATAGGGGCGAATGACATCTGCTAAATCTGGTATGTGGATGAAGATATTGAGAACCTGAGGCAGATAGAAGTCAAAGTCCAGCTCATCAAGACTGAACAACTTGTTGGCTAAAATGACAAATGAAAATCTCATTTGTGAATATCTTGAAATACGGAAAATAACAACACACTTCAGGTCTACAGATTTGAAGCCTAGTTTAGAGAAAACTATTCTACCAAAATTTGATTTAAAAATAATATGCACATTTCCATATAATCAACTTGAAATGTGTGAAAGACAAATATGTAAAGTATAACTTCAGGTGATTAGTATATGGTAGTTTACAATGAAAACTTTCTACCCAAATTTCACAGCGAAAAACATATCTTTGTCCATATCTTTTCAGCTTGAAATGTGCAACAAAACGTGTATTTGTACATGAACATACAAACTGAAGTTTTGCACGGTTAAAATAGAATTCTACCAGCAGTGATTTTTTTTAATTTTTTTTTATTTTGGGGGTTCATATCCAACTTTTTATGGAAATTTTTTTGGGCTACTTTTTCAACTTTCGGGGGCTATTCTTTTGGGGGGCTATTTTTTTCATTTTGGGGGCTACCTGGAGTGGAGATCCTGGCGATCAGCTACAACGTATACAGTGTGCAGGTAACATAATAAACAGTCAACTGCATTCCCGATAATAAGTCAGTACATGTACTGCACAATACAAATATTATGTTCTTACCAATGTAAGATTGTACCCCTGGTTCCTTGGATTTGTACAAGTGGGTGATGGCGATTGAAGCATCAAGATGCTTTGACTCAAAGAGTCTTAACAGCAGAGATTCCTTGGGAGGTGGGAGCTTATCTTTTAAGACCAATCTATGTCTAGGATCATTTTCAGTCCTGTTTTCATCCTCTTCCCTTATAACACAATCTCTAGGAGGCAAGCCAAGGCTCAAGCTCAGTTCACGACTTTTTCGCCTCTCCGGCATTTTAGCAGAGTCCAACACAAAATCCCCATTGGTACAGCATCTGACACCATTACTGCTGGTAGGGGATTCCCCATCCACTCTGATGTCTCTGAGAAGGTCATGATCTGGGTAGTCCATGCAGGTCTGGGAATTCCTTCTTTCATCTGATGAGCTTATCATGGAGGGGTCACCATTCTCTCCTCTCCTGGAGAGAGTGTGGTCTGGGGAAGATTGCACTTGTGAATTACTCTCATGGTTCATATCTCCGTTAACTACATGTACACCTGGCAAAGTATGGCCTTTCTTGTGTCTATGTTCCACGACTTTAGAGAGCTTGGAGGGTGATATTGGCTGATCAGACAAGTGGTGATCCATGATGCCATTTGGCAAGGCACAGTCTCCTGCTCCAGGCCTTTGATTGGCCACTTCTTCAATTTTCTCCATGGTAATCATCACTAGACCATTCAAGTGATGTCGCAATCACATACAAGAGCTAGCTCAGAATCAAAGGCTGTGTACCCTGTGAAAAAGAATGAAAGAAACAACAATTTGAGTTGGAAGTGCATGAAAGCAAGGTCTCAATATTTAGATCAATGCTCCTATGATTTACTCATTATCAAAAATTTGAGCTATATCTAGTTGAAATGATGTATTGTGATTTTCGCAACTTAAATTACTATAGATACATAACATACAGTGTGTCCCAGAAAAAAACTGGTAAGTTGGGAGTTTGATCGGATCGGAAAATTGGAGTGATACTCTTGCACCTTTGGTCAGTATCGGCAAAAACTATCAGCAAAATTACAGGTTCAAAATATTTCTATTTAGGTGGTCTGTTGTCAACAGACCACCTATTGATTTTGTCAGAATTTTCTTTCTTCTTTATTTATTTTTATTTATTTCTTAACTTTTTTGTGTGTCGGAAAATGCAAGATTGGTTTCGTCAATTTCTTTTAATTTTGACACAAGCATAGGTCATCGTCATAAGACGTGACAGAAACATTTTCAAGGTGATCAGGTCTTCGTGATGTCATCTATGCGCCATTTTGTGAAATCACAGTATCAATCATATCTTTACGATGCGTCATCAAAGGTCATTCATATTCATATCACATATACTTCAGGCCACAGGTCAACAGGTCATATCATCAAAGGTCAAACAAAGGTCATGACGCGTGCAAATGCGCGCATCAAAATTTAAAAATGCTCAAAATCACTTAACTATTAAACGAGAGTACGAATCAGGTCATTTTAAGCATTTCAAAATTTTCCGTCCGTACATGTCCCCGCGGCGTCGCGCTCGCTTACAGTGCGTGGAAAAGGTCAAATTAATTTTTTTGTTTACATGATTTAGATTCCTCTCACCCTAAATGACAATTTACATGAATTTCAGTCACTCTTGGCCTTTCATAAGGCCGTGAGCGCGCGTCAAAGTTCAAAATCTGCGCGTGCTGCTATGGGCAATTTAATGCAAATTTGATCAAAAACATGCCATTTTAAAAATCGAAATAGCTCTTCAGATAGTCCATCCACCCCCAATTTTATTATCATGGTTGGAAAAAGCATGAGTTGGAGATATGATTTCATACCACCCTGACTCGTACAAAGTGAAACAAAGTCTTCATATTGGCATCTAAACTCAAAAAATGTATTTTGTTGATGACGTCATTTTTGTCTTTGTTTAATTGAGATTATCTCGCTTATCAGTGATTGATTTTCTCCTAGATTTTGATATGTTGTAGCTGAGATAATTGTCTACTAGAAAAATGTCATTTATTTTTCATTTAAATGACGTCATCATAGTGAAATATTCGATTAAAGGCGACAATGCATAATTTGTCACAATTGCGTTTTATGCCTATGGGAGGTCACTTTTTTCAAAACATGAATCCGCATGACAATGTGTTTTGACCAGTATCTCGGTTGTTATTCAACAGTTTTCTCCCAAATGTTAGTAAGTTGTAGCTGAGACTATATGTTATAAAATCATTCCTCATTTTTTCGATAAGATGTCAGGATCATGCTCATGATCATCAATATCATTAACATTATCGTTATTATCATCATCTAACATTTTCATTATCATCATCATCACCATTACTGTCATGATCATCATCATGATCATCATTGTTTACATGTCTATATAACTTCTCCCATTCTCAAATCTATCATAAGAAGTGCAGACAGACCACATTAAATTTCTTGTTTCTTTTCTTTTTAATGCTGAAAATTTTAAACAACAAAAATTCTAGCTATTTTTTCCCGACCATTTTCATTGAATTTATTATCCGACTTCACCTGATCGGCCCCGATCCGATGATCAGTGACAGGGGTGCCTTCGTCCTTCTCTTGATTCTTCTTGTCCACTATAACCTATCTCGTAACTACGGCATGCGTACTTTCTCTTCGCCGGTTGAATTAACGTTACAACATGGAAGAATCATAGAGGTAGGACGAAGAATTACCCCTTTTCCCCATCGAACTTCAAAGACTTCTTCAAATTATAATTTCAAGTTGATGGATAGATGCCCAGAGGAGTCGAGCAACCTAGTAAGTCAAAATTGTAATTAGATCTAATCCCTTTGCATATTTTGAGATAATGTCGCCTAACCCGCTGTTAGAATGTTTTTTTGATGCACCCCCCCGAGGCTCCAACAGCAACGCATTCGGCTTCAGCATCGGAGTCGGAGCTTCCCGGAGTTACCCATCTAGTAGACCAAAAGCTACAGTCTCTATATCGTCGGTTGTTCCACTGAGACTACGTCTGGCTCCACTAGACCTCCGGATATAGAGACTGAACGATCGCCTATGCCATCGTACGTTGAAGATACACTCCACGGGTATACGATAAGACGATACTGCCCTGACGCTAAGTTAAATCCTTTTTTTGAAAGAATCGCATGCACTAACATATACAATTGGCATTTAGAATTAAACCACACATGATAAACATTAAGAAAATATGTACCTTGGACCTCTGCATATGAAATCTTCTTCAAAAAAGTGTTATTATCTCTTCCACTTGACTGTCTTCAGACGTCAGCCATCTTGAATCAAAGTAATGAATGTTCATGACAAAGTTTTTTAGTCTCTACCCCATTGACCTCATTCATAGACGTGCGCGTACGTGCACGTACATGTACATCACGAATCGGAAATGCAAGGTGGATACTAGACCGAAAGCTTCAGTCTCTATACCGTCGGTTGTTCCACTGAGACTACGTCTGGCTCCACTAGACCTCCGGTTATAGAGACAGAACGATCGCCTATGCCAGCCTATGTTGAAGATATCACGGCTAGATTTTAGCCGTTAGGCCCCTCCCACAAACATGAACAAACTTGCCACGGCCGTATTGTTATGCCCCCAAAATCCTCCAAAATGTCATTTTACCTCGTGCATATCCAATTTTACATTAGGCCTAGGCTATAATACATCGGTTCCACTTACTAACTTGATTGAAATAATCCGTTTAATGGTCCCTTTTAAGGAAATTATGGGTCAAAATCGACATCCATGTTGAAAATCTTGCAAGCGGTGTTAAACTCTCGCTGCCGTCAATCTCATCCCTTCTAGTCTACGCCGAAGGCAAAAATGATTATGAAGGAAAAACTGTGATGACGCCATTACGAACGTGTAGATGGCGCACAGTTTTTTGACCCATAATTTCCTTAAAAGGGACCATTAAACGGATTATTTCAATCAAGTTAGTAAGTGGAACCGATGTATTATAGCCTAGGCCTAATGTAAAATTGGATATGCACGAGGTAAAATGACATTTTGGGGGATTTTGGGGGCATAACAATACGGCCGTGGCAAGTTTGTTCATGTTTGTGGGAGGGGCCTAACGGCTAAAATCTAGCCGTGATATCTTCAACATAGGCTGGCATAGGCGATCGTTCAGTCTCTATAACCGGAGGTCTAGTGGAGCCAGACGCAGTCTCAGTGGAACAACCGACGGTATAGAGAGTGAAGCTTTCGGTCTAGGTGGATACTGGGTGTGTACCGGGTGGTAACAGGTGCAGTGGCAGACCTGCCAACCTCTGGAGTTCAAAAACTGTATTCTTTAGGCCCAAAAGTTGTATTCTTGAAAATAAACACGGATTGTTACGCGGATCAATGCCTCTTACAGTTTCTACCTACAGGAAGAATTTTTTTTATTGATCATTGGTTGAATATGCATGATTTCGTCATGACTGATGTGTTCGATTAACCAATGAACATCCCCAAATTGCCGATGTGAGATGCTTGTAGGATACTTAATTAATATTAATTATTAAAAAAAAAAAAAAAAAAATTGTTTTTTTTTTTTTTTTTTTTTTTGAAAATCGTATTTTATTAAGGAAAATCGTACTGTCGTATTTGCTTCTAAAAATCGTACTAAATACGACTAAATCGTACTGGTTGGCAGGTCTGCAGTGGTGGTGCTACTCACGTTTGAGTTCTTGTGTTGTCTGCTTCACGTGCGCGCGCGCTATCCTCGACGTGACGCGCGGGAGGAGCTAGCCGAGGCGAGGTCAACCATCCTCATTACATTAGCCACCATTTTGATTTCTGTCGGTCAGAATGCTTGACGTGGGTCATCGAGAAGCAGCCAAAAGCTCGGTAAGTCCTTTCATTTCTATTAAATTTCTATTTCGTGGGGAAGGGGGGTAAAAAGGGAACTTTTAGGGACTGACAATTGCCTAGAAAATTACTGCAATTAAAGATGAATGATGTATTTCTCCTCAAGTTTGTCATGTTTGTGGGAGGGGCCTAACGGCTAAAATCTAGCCGTAATATCTTCAACACATAGCCTATATGAGGGTCATACCGTCTGTGTATGGGGAATATCGACAAATGTCAGTTTTATTAAAGAATGACTCATACCAGACGGTTATTTCTGTCTAGACCTATACCCATCTCGTAGCTAAATAAAAACGTTGTGTGATCAGTGATTGAGTGAACACACATTACGATTTTTATCCACAGCACAATCCACATACACACCACAAAATTCTACAGTTTAAAAACTATTAGTACTATTAGTAAGTATTAATAATTATTCATGAGATTGAGAATTGCCAATTGGCACTGCACTGCAGAGCAAATTTTGAAATAACAATTCTATTTTTATTTTTATTAACACTGAAAATTACCTGTCTACAGACCGAGCCTGTCTGTCTGCACTGCCAGCAATCATCTCATCTGTCATCTTGCTTCGTACTCCATCTTATTAGAACCTAGACTAGATCTTTCTCGAGTATATTTCTAACTTAGATGTGACTTGTACCAGCGGCAATTTCAGCAAACTTGCTCGGCTCAGCATCTGCAGGTCAGGTCCTGGATCTACGCCTTGGCCTGGTAGAGTCTGTCGTTATACCTGGCAGTTGGCAGACACTGACTCAAGCTGTATTATATGTACGCTGTATGTACGTGTGTACTAGTGTACTGTGCATGCAGAGTGTGCGACAATATTGTGTGTGTGAAGGTGACCGTTCAACACGAAACCCTTTTTTCCAGCACCAGTGCAGTGCAGTATGCAGTCGGCTAAGGTCAAGAAACTTTTTACCACCGAGCCCTAGCCGATGATGTCATTCTTGAAACAGTTCTTTTAAAATGTAATTTAATTATACCCGTTTTTTTTTAGCATAACATTTCTATTTCCAAAAATATAAATAAAATTTTAATTATAAATTTGTACACCTATCTTCACGAATAATTTATTTTCAAATTAAATCAATATTTTCTCAAACTAGAAATAGATCTAGTTCGAGGCAGTCGAGTTGTAACACGAAAAAGTGGCGATCTCCATGTAAACAACGATCAACAATCAACACATCTAAATTCCAGTCTACATCAATGCCCACCTAGAAATTTAAATTCACATGAAGGAAATGGCCAAGCAAGGATAAAATTATTTTAAAAAATAGAATCTACTTTGATGATTAACACCTCACTCCAATAGTCACGGCGTCATTCTGATGAGGATGTGTGATCATAATTTTCACGGGCAGCCAGACAGATGAGACGACGTAGTCCCACGTATTGATTGTAGGTGTAAGTAGATCGCTAGATCTAGATCTATAGCTAGATCTCAAAATACTGGGGGAAAATCTTCAGAGTTCTTCTCCTTATCCTCCTCTTCCTCTTCCCCCTCCCCTCCCCTCCCCTCCCTCCCCTCCCTCCCCTCCCCCTCCCCCTTCCCCTCCCCCTCCTCCTCTTTCCCTCCTCCTCTTTCCCTCCTCTTCTTTCCCTCCTTCTCTTTCCTCGATCCTCATCTCCCCCCTCCTCCTCCTCCTTCTTTCCCTCCTCCTTCTCCTCTTTCCCTCCTCCTCCTCCTCCTTCTTTTTCTCCTTCTCATTCTCATTCTCCTCCTTTTCCTTCTTCTTCTCCTCCTCTTCCTCTTCCTCCTCTTCCCCTCCTCCTCCTCCTACAAAATTGATGCAAAATTGTTTTGTGGTGATTAAACTACATGTATACATAACAGCTTACAGTTACCATGGTTACACAGAAAAGATTAGTCCATCTATGATCTTCATTCAAGATTTATTTTAAAGATTTTTTTTGTTTGTTTATCATAAGTGGACAGTGGTCCTATAGTTGTACAGACTACAGTACTACAGAACACATTTCAAATTAGACTCTCCCATGAGAAATTATATTCTAACTTTGTTGGACAATAAAGTTGTGTAGTTAAAACAATAAGAGGATTTCAATGCTCTTTAATTTTATCACTTGGCCCGGATAAGCAGCTGAAACAATCATTATGTAATAAAGAGATATTTAAAAAAATAAAAAATTGGACTTTGATTTTTTTTATTTCCCCCACTCATCATGCAGGCTTTACCCAAGAATGGAAAGATTAGGCCACAAATATGCCAGCACCACAAGAAACAATGGCACAAGCTATCTTTCTAGGAAATCTAAATAACGATTTACCTAAGCGTCGCATCGCATCTTTGATTGTGCAACTTGCTCGCCAGTGTACAGGACTAAACTTGGACACCAGAAATGTCAAGGTACGGTTTTCCCATCCTAGCGATTGCTGCACAGCTACTCTCCAACTCCCAACTCCCGCTGAACAACAGAAAGCCCTTGCATATCTAGCTCAGTGCCAGCAAGTGCCGGATGGACTCATCAAACTCGGTAGAACTCTAAAGGTTGATGTCTTTCAAAAGCATCCTCATCGGAGGAATGGCGCTAAGGTTTCTATCGAGGATGAAGGACCCAACTACCAAGGCAACCATGAACTAGTGTTTGAGAAAGGACAACATCTTGGGGCAGAGACAAGGATTCTTGAGTTTAAGGAAATGTCCAATCTCAACTTACAATACCTGAAGCAGAAAGTCACCAGATATGTCTGCGCTTTCCTCAACAGCTCCGGCGGGGCCCTAATGTTTGGAGTTGACGATAGCGGTATGTATTATACATAATATTTTTCCTTAAAAAGTAACATGAATAATATGTGAAAACAACATTTTAAAAGTAAAATAGGGCCTTTTTTGTGAAGGACTGTGGTTAAAGAATAGCGACTAAAAAACATAGAAAACATGAAGCCAATTTTTTACATTATTAATTAACCATGCCAAAGGCATCTCTATTCATAAGCAACTGGAAATGATTGAATATCCACTCCTCTTGTTTTTAAACATCAGTCATGTATTCACTTTTAATTAATTGTAGATTCTAAAACCGCTAATTATTGGCCTGAAGTTTACTGAAATTGGACAGTGGGTTTATGCTCAAATTAGAGTCAATTAAGTGCAACAAAGGTGATAGGGACTAAGTTTTCCCTTTGTTAACCATGAATTAGACCAAGTGTTCGGCTTCAACTGGATGAAAATATGAACCATCATCACCAGCCATGGATTGTAATGCAAAAGTTATTTCAGCTTTCACCTGTAGCCTTTCATTTAGAGATTATAGATATTTAAGATGTTTTGATTTTTCCTTTTTTTTTCAGGTAATGTTCAAGGCACTCCAATGTCACATAAGCAGGAGGACGACGTCAGAATCGCAATCGATCAAATTATCAAGAAATTTGATCCGCCTGTCTTGCCCCAGATGTACAGCATTTCCTTCATCTCAGTTTATAATCAGACCCATGGAACAAGCAACAGAACCCAAGGTCAAAATCAAATCAGAATGTTATAATTTATGCAAATTTTTGAAAAAATTGGTGATCCAATGTTTCCTATGGCGATTATTGCTCTTAACTTCGTCAGAGATCTAGATCAGGATTTCGATTGCAGTCAGTTGTTAGCGGGTTAGTTTTAGAGTTGGGGTAAGAGCTAGTAGGGTAAGTGTTTGGTCCAGGGTTGAAGCAATTGTTGCCAGGATATGTGTTGAACAACCAAAGAATAATATCTTGGAATGGGGTATTAGTATATGTTTGTATATTATTGGCAAAAGTGTGATTGTGAGATGCTCATTTATGTTACAGCTCATGGCTGTGCAATGAAACTGTATTTTGCATTGTGTAGATTGAATATAATGTTCACACCAACACCATATTACACTTCTGTACTCTTAAAGGTACTTAATGTTCTCAATTTTATTTTAACATTATTTGTATAAGGTGTCACTGCCTGTACCAGTATATTCTTTGAATTTAATGTTTCCATTACAAATTGATAAATATGTCGGCATTGTGGCCTAGCTATAGCCTCTGTGAAATATGACTGCACTTGGACTCTTGACCCGTATTCTCAATAGGGTTTTGCTAAAAAAAAATAGGTTTAGCAAAGGAAGTAAATTGAGTTTTAAATTTTTTGTTTGAAAAACACAATTTTAGACCCAGGGTCAGGTTTAATTGGATTAGAATACAGGCCTTGGAATCACAAAATGTATTGCAACTATAAAGAGGCACTTAATTGTACGTCTCCGAGTCTTATAAGTAAATATGCACTATTTCTTCATGAAAAACACATCTAAAATGTATCTTGTGCGCTTTTTTGCTATAGGTGATGACACTTTCTTGAAGGTCATCAAACTCGATATAGATCCTGGAAGACCCAACACGCTATATGCAACACCAGGAGGAGATGTGTTCATCCGTCGAGACGGGAGTGTCCAAGGCCCTCTCAAGCCAAGAGAAATACAGGAATGGTGCAATATGGTAAGTTATTTTGATTAATACTCCACAATATTAACATTGAAACATCAGTTAAAGAACATATGACCATAATACACTTGAATATTCTTCACACAGTATGCATTTATTCAAATCTAGCACAAACCATGTGGCGACTTGTTTGCTTAATTTATAGCTTGTGTGTTAATTCTGAATTTTTCCTCATGTAACACAATTACATATTTTTTAAACAAAAGGAAAATATAGTAATGAAAATGTTTCTTTTAAAATATATTTATTTAATTTGTATTAATTCCATTTATTATTTATTTCATTTCAATGAACATAACTTTAAAGAATAACAATAACTTGATAGAATTGGTTCATAAATAACAAGAACAACCAACAATTTGTTTGTACTTCAACAGAACTTTGACAACAAGGAGAGAGCCTACCAAGATGAGATCTCTCAGCTTCAGCATCAGCTAAGACAGACCGAGTATGATCGTCAGAGCGAACCTGTTTCCTCTCTCAAGAAAACCAAGTCTGCTGTATGCAGTATACTATGACAAATGGTTCTACTTAAAATATGTTTACTCATTACCTGCGCAATACCTTGTTTTAATTGGCCATTTCCTAACAATTGCCCCCTAAATCAGAATAACATCGTTATTTTTTTAAACTAGGAAAGTCCTTTGTTTTTCTATGATATGTATATTTTGTAAATAGTAAACAGTTTTTAAGGCCTTTTTTGGTTTTTCACATTGTTGTACAAACTAAATTAAAATAAAATAAAAAGAGAAATATGCATTCACTGGTTTTGTTAAGTAGCAGAATGTGTTTGTGATATGATCAATACTCTGAAAAACAGGACATATATGTGTTGTATATATAGACACACATGATTTGTCAGCAATATCCAATCTAAACATTGCAAAATTGTGCTATCAACAGGGTTTTATTATTAAGTGTTGAAAGATTTTTGAATAATGAATTTTTAATTGATTATTTTGATACAAATGCCTCAATGCAAAATATGGAAAAACAACTTACAAGTGTCTATCTAAACTATGGCAGGCTATGAGAGAATTTTATTATACAACATTCATTGATGTTGAAAAATAATTATAAATCTACCTGGAATTTGATAAATATGATCTTAAAAAGAATACAAATATTGATACCATATACCCAGTATGTGTGAATGATAATACTTTTTCTAATATTGTAGACATCACAAATGCCTTTAATATTTTTTTTGTGAGTGTCAGTGGAAAATTACGGCTGCAAACAACCAGGTGCTTCTAATAACTCTCTTTATTCTTACTTAAACGTCCTAATAATCATTTTTAAACCTATCACTGTTTCTGAAATACTGTACTGAAAATATAGTTAATGACTATGAACATAGACATGAAAAATGAAACGAGTGCAGGAGTTGACTCAATTAATACCAAAGTTATTAAACGTGATATTTTTACCATTATGTACTATATTAAAACAAAGTCTTTCAAGCTGAAGAGTGCCAAATGATATGACAGTTGCAAGAATAACTTCAATTCATATGAAAGGAAGAACTGATGGTCAATGTAAATAACTATTGACCAAAATCTGTTTTAAATATTTTTTGAAAATTTTAGAAAGATGCATTTATAGATGATTATTAGATTCTATAATAAACATGATATATTGTATAGAAACCAGTTTGGATTTGGACAGAGGGGCACTCCACATCTACAGCAATTTTAGAATTAATACATAATAATAAATTGAGCAATTGACAGGGGTGAATTTACCTTAGCAGTTTTTATTGATCTGTCAAAGGCTTTTGATGTAATAGATCACTCGATACTATTACAAAAATTAAATTACCGTATGGGGTATTAGAGGTATACCGTTTAAGTGGTTTGGCAGCCATCTAGATTCCAGAAAACAATTTACTGTAATTAATAATATAAATTTGAATATAAAACAGTTAGATATGGAGTGCCCCAGGGATTATTTCAGGACCACTTTTATTTCTTATTCTTATAAATGACATCATATTTTGTACTCGATTAATTTTATTCTATTTGCAGATGATCGATACAAGTATTTTTTCATCAGGTAAAAATGTATATTTCACCGTACTAATTGGTACACAGTACTACACACGCAATTAAAAAATATAAGTCAATGGATGGACCCTAATAATTAAGTTGATGTTGAATACTGGAAAAACAAATTGCATGATTTTTGGAGCTCGCCACATTAGTAATATGGATTTGAAATTACATTATAAGAATGAAGAAAAATAATAAAGGTTCAAAATATTAAATTTTGGGGCTTCTACTTAGATGATAAACTATCATGGAACTACCATATAAATGATCTCTGTACCAAACTTCCAAAGAATATTGGTGTACTCTATAGGTTACAGTTTTTACCGCACAAAATATTAAAACCATTGTACTACCCCCTTGAATTTTCACACTTGAATTATA